ACCCATGACTTTACTGTAACTTATCTTCTAATGGATATTGAGTGACATTTTCATTTTCAATCTGTCTGGAGAGGGAAGCCTCTTGTTAGTAGTCAAGTTTTTAATCACATCGAGGTGTGCTAACAAGAACTTGTTAAGGCTATTGGTTTGAGTTTCAGTTGATTCATCTGTGAGGCAAAGATATAACTGAGCTGTCCATTCAGTACAAGAGTGTCGACTTTCTTTTTCTGATTCGGTACTAAAACCTCCTGAAGCAGTCCTTGAAATTTGAGTTGTCTCCATTTCTGCATAGTGCATAGCATGTCAGTTAAAAAACCAGCGACTAGAATAGGAGAGGTGTTTATAGTGTCACGAGTTTGCTTACCGGCCATTAGTAATTTCATTTTATAATTGATCATCCTAATTCTGTTAGTTGTGTTTTCCGTTTTGGAGTGTTGCAAGTGAGGATGCAAAATGTTGAGAATGAGGCTATAAGATTAGAGAATGCTTAAGGACGCATCAACCAAACAAGTAGACCTAGGGAGGGATTAGGGAATTTTCGATGTTTGTCCTATTGGCTTGTGAACAACATTGACCACCTATCTATAGTATCTTCGATTCTGTGCTCCAGTTTAGTCAAGGTATTTTTTGCTGACAATGCTTTGAGCCATCTAGGTAATGCCTATGTGTCGTCTTATGAACTGAGTTTTTTTCCTGAAATATGCAACATGAACTTTACTATGTGCCTGACGCATTCATCTGAAACCTTTAAACATTGTGAAAAGATAATTTGAACTGTTGTATTCTGTCACTGGAAAAGCTTGTCTTTACTTTTCATTTTCAGAAATCTATAGGCAAAAGCTTCAGCAGCTTGTCGCTGATGGAGAACTTAGTGATGAGGACATGAAGGCATTGGAACGCCTGCAGGTCATGCTTTGCGTTCCCAAGCAAACAGTTGAGGCGGCTCATGCAGATATCTGTGGCAGTTTATTTGAAAAGGTAACCACCAGTCTCTTCTCTATTTATGCTGCGTCAGTTAGTTCATTTTTATGCTATGCAGCTGATTGGGCTGTAATGGCATGAGGCAAATTTTGCTGTGGATTATATAAGAATTTGTGTACCCTGTCGTTTCTCTTATGTTAAATTAGCCAAGTGTAGTTTGATATTTTGAGCAATTGCCTTTAGGAAATCACAGCCAACCCCCCTTCAGTTGCCATAGATACCTTTGCTCTAGATGGTGGTAAAATACAAAACTTCCCATACTGCTTATAATGTCGTTACGGAGACATATTTTGTGCTTGCTTTTAATTGAGGAGATAACTTGAAAACTCTGCTGTTATCTGGTAAGTTACATTTTATTCACCTGATACCCTTATCCCATGCGCTTCATGGTGTATGAGAATTGAATAAGTTGAGTCATAAATGTCTGGAAAAAGCAGTTAGGAATGTGAAGCTAATGGACCTTGCTCCTAACTCAAACCCAAAAGCTAGCTGATAAGGTGAGAATGACCCAAGACCATACAAGGAAATAAACACTCCATTTCTCAACCAATATGGGTCACTTAACAAGGACCAAAGGCTATTGCTTGACTGCTTCTACCTTGCTTACCTTCTGCCCCATAATTTTTGTGCATGTATACTTTCAAATGTGAAAGTGCCCTCTGTCAAATGCATTTCTTGTATAGATCTGCTTCATTTTTGGAAATATTAGACCTTTTATGTGGAGTTACTTTTCATTTAGTATTATTTTAACTTTTTTTAGAACATTGTGATATTTAGTCCAAGTGGGATTTTACTAGGTTGTTGTTGTTGTTGTTGTTGTTGTTGTTGTTGTTGTTGTTGTGATATTTAGTCCTAAAAATTGCTTTGATCAAGTTGCAGTTTGACCCCTGAAAGTCAAATACGAACAAAGATTAGTGTACATTGTATGTGTGAGAATGCACGAGAGAAAAATCTATTTTATTAACAATGATATAGTGAACCCTATATATAATACATATTATACTCCTACTACATATAGGACTAGGACATATTCTACTCGTATTACATATGAGACTAGGACATATTCTACTCTTACTACATATGAGACTATGACTATTTACACATAACCATCTAACACTCCCCTCAAGCCGGTGTATACAAATTATATGTATCGAGCTTGTTACATATGTAACTAATAAGAGGACCAATGAGAGACTTGGTGAAAATATTACACTAATAAGAGGACCAATGAGAGACTTGGTGAAAATATCTATAAACTGATCATTCGACATACAAAGCCATAGACTCCCCTGAGCAACAAAATCAGGTGGTTGTTGATAAACAGAAGTTGCTATGGAAATGTTTTGTCTTGCTATGCCTGACACAAACAGATAAAATGAATCGAAGAGTCGGGGTCATAAACGAAAATCAAACCAGTTCAATTCTGAAAACCAAGAACGTCAAGCCCCATTCCACAATTAATATGCACTAAAGAAAACTAAGTAGAGGTACCCATTACTTACTTTTCATCTTCCTTTTCTTCGATTCTTTAGAATGATTTGGAGTTGGTTGTCAAATGGATAAATTTTGCCTCTACATTTTGTCTTCAGCATTCACTCTTTCTTGTGAGAGAATCATTTTTCCAGATGGGTTACTTATATTAAAAAAAAGAAGAAAAGAATACATATTTCAAGATGGTTATTTTGGAAAAAAAATTTGTCACTGAGCTGCAGGAGTAATTTTTACGGTGCGTTAGTTCTTGTGGCAACAAAATCTTCTTGCGAGGGGAAGTAGCTGTGCTATCAATGGGTTTCTAAGTAGAGAACCAGAAGGAAGTAAACAATGGAGCAAATGTTGTCAGTTTAACTGTCTATATAGTTAGCTTTTTGTAGAAAGCGTCTCTTTTCCTTTTTGTTCTTGTTCCTTCGAAAATTCGCATCTTATGCTACAGGTAGAAAACTTAGGATGATTGAATGGAGTGAAATGCAAACTTTCCCCAATAAAAGCAAAAGAACAAGAACGATTTAACTTTCATGTATCTGTGATTTGGTTGAAGGTTTAATTTTTTCATGTAGTAATTCAGATGTTTTCATAAACTTTGGCGGTGCTGAATGTAGTTAGTGATTAGAGTTTACGTGTACTGAGTCGAAACCTGCTAGTAGGGTTTGCTTGTCTGTTCACAACTATTCTATTACCACGTATGATCTGCAGAAAGCAGAAGCCCATTGTCAACTGTAGTAGTATGTGGTATCTTATGCACTACACTCATTCTACTGAAGCAGGCAGTAGTAAATTATTTCTCACCCCCCTCAAGTTTTCATCCTCAGTCGTTATATATATGTGCATACATATACCTGCATCAGTATGCACCTCTCAGTATGTAGATAATAGGAAGCTCGAGCACTGTCCCATTCCATGTCCTCTGCCAGCTTGTTTCCCTATGTCATTTTTAGCAAGTTCTTCCACACTGGTTTCTCAGATAGTGTAGAATTAGTTGATTTGGCATTGTCTTGTTACGTGCAGTAATCACATTGTAACAAGCCACATTTGTTAGAGATTTTGTTTCTTAGATTGTGAGTTTTTAGTTTTCAATATTTAAGTGGGTTGATCTCTTTCAACTTCTTATGGTGCAAAAGGTGTGAAATTGAGCTAATCTGGTTCCTNTTCTTATGGTGTAAAAGGTGTGAAATTGAGCTAATCTGATTCCCTCCTGTCACCCAATATAAATATTGTTTGCAGGTGGTTAAGGAAGCAATTGCTGCTGGTGTAGATGGTTATGATGCTGAAATCAAAAAATCTGTGAGAAAGGCAGCATATGGTTTACGGTTAACCAGGGAGGTTGCCATGTCTATTGCTAGTAAGGCAGTAAGTATCAGGATGCTAATTCTCGTCTACAGCTTGTAAAAGTTTAATTTGATTCCACAATCAGAAATATACCTCGACTAGTATTTTATTCATTTTTTGTCTACCAAATACTATATCATCATTTCCTAGAACACGTGGCAGTCTAATGCATAGAAGAGCGATGATGCATTCAGTTTGTCCAATCAACTGAGCCAAGTGGTCTGCAGTGAAAATTTATGGAGCCTACAATGGCAAAAGTGTCTTCATAGCCTAAAACTAACAATACAACTACAGTACCTACACAAGCTAAACCAATCAAAATAATTGAATCACCTGAAATTACCAAAGAAGCCCTTGGTCGGCAAGCTGGCAAGACAACGCCCAGCTGCTTCCAAGGCTCTTCTATATATTAGAATATCTTTCTAATTACATTCAGTGGCTTCACAAATACAGGTCAGAAAGATTTTCATCAGTTACATTCAAAAGGCCCGAGGATCTGGGAGCCGCACTGAACAAGCCAAAGAACTGAAAAAGATGATAGCCTTTAATAGTTTGGTTGTGACTCAACTAGTTGCGGACATCAAGGGTGAATCGTCTGATACACCACCAGAAGAGCCTCAAAAGGAGCAGGTTCAACAAACCGACGAGGAGGATGGGGAGTGGGAGTCCTTGCAATCACTAAGGAAAGTAAAACCCAGCAAGGACAATTTGAGAAAGGAAATCCAGACTGAGATTTCTCTCAAGGATGATCTTCCGGAAAGAGACAGAACTGATCTTTACAAGACATACTTGCTCTTTTGTCTAACTGGGGAAGTTACTAGAATTCCTTTTGGGGCCCAAATCACCACAAAGAAGGATGATTCAGAATATGTTTTGTTAAGTCAACTTGGTAGCATCCTTGGGTTGACTGATAAGGAAATTGTTGAAGTGCACCGAAGTCTAGCTGAGCAGGCTTTTAGGCAACAAGCTGAGGTGATCTTAGCTGATGGACAGCTAACCAAGGTCAGAATGGAACAGCTTACTGAATTGCAGAAGAATGTTGGCTTGCCACCTCAGTATGCCCAGAATATAATAAAGAGCATCACAACAACAAAACTGGCGGCAGCCCTTGAAACTGCTGTTGGTCAGGGAAGGCTGAGCATTAAGGAGATTAGAGAATTGAAAGAATCTTCAGTAGATATCAACACCATGATATCTGACAGTTTACGTCAGAATCTTTTCAAAAAGACAGTGGATGATATCTTCTCATCTGGTACTGGAGAGTTTGACGAAGTAGAGGTATATGAGAATATCCCAAAAGATCTTAATATTAACGCTGAGAAGGCCAAAAAAGTTGTTCATGAACTAGCTCGTAGCAGATTATTAAACTCGCTTATTCAGGCTGTATCCCTTCTGAGGCAGAAAAACCATAAAGCATTGGTATGAGTCTGATCTGAAGATGCTACTGGTTTTGCGTGAATAATGTCGTAATTTTGCAGTTTTAATGCTTCCCTTTGTTTTTGTAGGTTTCGTCTCTCAATGATTTGTTAGCTTGTGACAAGGCCGTTCCTTCGACCCCATTATCTTGGGAGGTGCCAGAAGAACTGGCTGATCTTTTCATCGTATATGCGAAGAGTGATCCCACACCAGATAAGTTGTCCAGGTTACAGTATCTGTTAGGTATTAGTGATACAACAGCAGAAACTTTGAGATCTATGAAGGATAGGGAACTACCAAATGGGGTAGGGGAGGAAGAGTTTGTATTTTGATTCTCTTATAGCTTCTGATGAATGTCTGAATATCAGGCTAGAGAGAGAGAGAGAGAGAGAGAGAGAGATGGGCACTGGTAATTTTTTCATTTAATGTAATTGAGGTGTGTATCTTTGTGCTTTAAGATGTGAGCCAAAAATGGTAGTATCGTTTTTTTGGTATTTAGTAACTGGTAGAGCAGTGTTATGCTTTTTGAGTTTCTTTGTTGCTTAGTTACAAGTTGGACTCTCTTCTCCTTTCAGAAGGGGAAGGAATTAAAATGTACCAATGAAAAGATTTAATGCAAGGCTTTTGTGTCTCAATTTTCATTTCCTTGGTGAGTCAGGATGAGACGGAACTTTGTGTCAACAAATCTTAACCTATAGAGGGATTCTTTTATTTGGAAAATATAAGCACAAGAAAATAATTTTCTTATTTGAAAAAAATATTTGTCCGAAAATGAAATCATAGATTCAAGAATAGAAGAGTAGCGTTCTCGAATGCTACCTTTTGCACACAATTTATCATAAAAGGGTAAGTTTTAAAAACGAAAAGTTAATGTTTTCTTGATTCTTAAAAATGACACTAATTAAAAGGCTAGAAAGACAGTTGGACAGTTTAAAAGGGACAGGAAGGAGTACCAACTAAGAGTCGAAAACATTTGGCTGCTTTTGAGGCCAACTTAATTAGTGCACCCTACATTCAATTTTACTTGTCCACGCATGCCCCTTAAGAAATAATAAATAAAGTGCATAATTTATTATAATATTCATATTAATTGGTGTATAGTCTTAATAAATTGAAAAAATAATTTGGAATGTATAATTAATGCTAAGGACAAAACAAGAAAAATATCTTAACATTTGCACCCCGCCTCCCTCCCCACCCCCAAAACTATCTCTTTTGCACCCGTACATTGGATCTTGGTCTGGACGCAATATTATTGCAGTTTTTCTTTGCGTGATAATGGTTGGAAGGCTCTGTTTTTTTGTTGGGAGATGCTAGTGACCTAACTTTGGTCACACTAGTGAAAAGACATAAATAACCCTCTAACTAATTAGCCTACATTTTTCCCCCCCAAAACACAAAATTAAATTTCAAGTCTTGAAGTATGCGAAAATTACATGTTGGGAGATGAAAAGTCTTGTGTATTATATTTGTATTTCCATTGTATTTATGTGTATTTTATGTTTGTACAAATTATACGATTTAGTGTGTATATAAATTATTGTATTTTCTTCCTTTCTTAAAAACAAATACGATATACAATTTATTGTACTTCCTTCATATCAAACCAAGTCAAGTGGACACTTTACCCTATCTAAAAAATGGATTCAAACCAAGAAAATTTGGTGGTGCAAGAAAATATGAATCCATATCTACTTATTATTTATATTTCATAATTAAATTGCTAATTATATCCCAAAATAAAACGATTGGTGTCAATTGACTAGTGGAACCATAGTAAACGTAATTATATGGTCGTTATCAATATTCGCATGACCTTAGTGAATGAAATTATATGTTGGCTGTTGCGGAAGCCAAATGTATAGAGTGTGAATAAGTCACAACTACTATACCAAAAATTAT